GCAAAATATATCAAAGAATGGTGAAGACATATTTAAGTATAACAAATATACATGTAATAGAAACAAATGCAATAAATAAAAATGCAGAAAAATATGAATGCATTTTTGTGTAACCCTGCTATGTTACTCTGAAAGACAAAGGGGTTATCCTTTAAATGTGCAGCATGCTTTTGGGGGTTTTTTGGGATGGGGTTGCACCGTTAAGTGTTGTTAAAAGGAAGCACAAACAGGTTTTGTACTGTACTACTGATCGAACTGTGGTGAGAGCAAAAGCTTTTGAAATTTGAAACGTGAGCAGATGCGAGGACATGGCAAGAACAGGAAACCAGAACCTCAGTAGCACTGTGTCCAGACATCCGTCACATCCAAACACACCTCAAAAGCTTTTAATCACTTTGTTGTTCTCCCTGGTTACAAAGAGATGGGGAGGAAGAACAAATGTGTTTCCAAGAGTTTCAGAAGTGCACGAGGGAAAACCACAAAACATGGAAGAATAAAAAAAAAAAGAGAGAGACTTTCATGGATTTTTTTTAAGAGTGAAGTTTAACAGGTCAAAGAAACAAAACAACATCACAAACACACAAGCAAACACAGTAGATGTCTCATCTCTAGTTGAGTTTGTGTCTCTGATTGCTTCCCTTGTGTTGCTCCTGGCCGAGGCTTATCAAAGAGCTCCTTTCATAAGTGCCAGGATCAAGCCACTGCTGTGACTGCTTGGCACCCACTGAGGTGGTTTGGAGATGGGGAGGGGGTGTGAGCTTCAAAACATAGGCAAGGCAGAGGAAGTCAAAATTGAAGGCAGTAAGTGAGGGGGAAATGGTGCATTTGTGCATTTGAAGGAAAATGGGAAAGGAAAAAGGCTGATTTTAGGGTGGGGACTTCTGCAAAATGCCTGGAATAAGTGTATGTGTGTTTGTGTGTGCGTACAGTTTCGTTTATGACAGAGAGAGAGAGAGAGAAACGGGAGAAAGAGGGCAATCTTTCAGTCTAGGAGGAGTTATTTTATATATGTGCTGACAAAATTAATATGTATTTGCTTTAAGCCTTCTCTGCTTCTGTGATTTTTTGCTGACGCACACTAGAATGCACAGAATATCCAGGTGAATGCAGAAACAGTGAAGGACATGACTCCAGAGGAAAAGAGCAACACACACACACAAATACCCTCAGGCCATGTGCTCCTCCTCACTACAGCAGCTATAGTCCTCACAAGCCCGATATCTGCCCTGTTTACTAAACCATGTGACAGCATCGCATTTTTACAGGAC